CCTGCCGTGCTTATCCATACAGGTTCAGCACCCACGAGCACGGAATTCACACCTGACGTCCCCGCAACACCCCCCGGAGCCCCAATTCCTCCCAGGTGGGGTGGGGGGGAAAGGGCTCAGGGCTGCTGCTGTTGGTCCCCGAGGGCTGGAAGGAGGAGATGGTGGTGCAGGAAACCCGCTGCTTTGTCCCAGTGCTGCTCTCAGCCTCGTCTCGCCGGGACAGACGCTTTTTGGGGGTCTCTTGGGACATCCCTGTGCTGGGAACCGGGCACAGCACAACCAGCCCCAAACGGGGGGCACCACTGCCCCGCCTGGAGCAACGGGTGGGAGGGGAGAGCAGATCTCAGGGTGGGCTGAAGGCTCCCTGGGGTGCCCCCACTGCAGCAAACACAGCGGGGGGTTCCAGCTGCATCTGGGGGGTCCCCACCTCCTACTGGGCTTTCCTTCCAGTCACTTCTCAGTAACCAGTGGGACAGACCCCTTCCCAGGCTCTGGGTGCTGCCTGGACCCATCCCCCAAAGCCCCAAAACTCACAGCAAGCCCAGCAGGATCCCAGCAAGCCCAGTAGGATCCCAGCAAGCCCAGCAGGATCCCAGCAAGCCCAGCAGGATCCCAGCAAGCCCAGCAGGATCCCAGCAAGACCAGCAGGATCCCAGCAAGCCCAGTAGGATCCCAGCAAGCCCAGTAGGATCCCAGCAAGCCCAGCAGGATTCCAACAAGCCCAGCAGGATCCCAGCAAGCCCAGTAGGATCCCAGCAAGCCCAGCAGGATCCCAGCAAGCCCAGCAGGATCCCAGCAAGCCCAGCAGGATCCCAGCAAGCCCAGCACTGCTGGAGGCAGGAACAGACACCAGGCACAGGCAGCTCTTGTTACCAACTCTCCCTGTTAACACAAAGCACCCGGCACAGCCTGGGAGGCACCAGCACCTTCCTCCCCCTCTCAGCCCCATCCAGACAGCAGGATCAGCCCCAGGATGGTCCCAGGGGTTATGTGAGCAGGGGCTGGGGAGGAGGCAGCCACCCACAGACCCCTCCAGGCAGCACCAGGACATGCTCAGGGTGCTTCATTTCTTCAGGTGCCCACCCACCCTGGCTATGCTGGGAGGCATCTTACTGCCTCCTCTGCTCAAAGAAAATGGGAAAAGCCTCATTTTTTGGGGTAATATCTCTGCCAAAAGACATCAAAATCACCCAGGAAATCAGATCTTGTCCTGACTTACTCAAACTCATGCAGCAACAACTGGAAAGCCCCCAGCTATGGGCTGAGATCCTGCAATTAGACCAGCAATAAATAAACCTCCAAAACCCTCAGACACTTCAACCTGATGGGCCATATGAAGAAAAATGTTCACTTTTCACCCACAATGAGTTGAAATCATTTTAGATTTTTATTATTATTATTATTAGAGAAGGGAAATAAACATATTTCAATCCAGTCAAGAGTGAAATTGAGTTTAACAACAAAGCAATTTCTATTAGTGGAGACCCAGGGAAAAAA